TTTTGTAATTTAAGCAGTACAAATAATATGTTAGGAATGGTTACCATGGTAACAGATCTGATGATATTATTTCAGTTTTCCTCCCTGAGTTCACACATTAGGAGCCCTTTGTGTGTGGTACCACCCTTTATATTCTCTCTAACACAACTAATTTATTGATATACTCTAACAAGATACTAAACATGTCAAAGAAAAGTGCACTTTTTAGCTAACCAAGCAAGTTTTTCATTCATATGCAGAACACTATTTTACAACAATTTTTTTCCTACTAATTTCTGCTTTTGATTTCAAAACATTTTTAAATGAATTCCTAGTCATTACTAATACAATGTACGTTGTAAATTGTTTACTAATTACTTGATCATGTATGAATCAGAGAGTCATATAGTCATTTAGTTTTAAATCTTTCAATGTGCTCTACATAACAATCTGTCTATGAAACTGTTCTGTCTATTTCACTATTTTGTATATAAAACAGTTACTATCAAACAATGAATAGAAGCTTGTTTGTCAGCTACTTTATTATGCATCTATAATCAGAAGTACATTGTATATTTATTTATATTTTAGTGCTAAATTATACTCTGCATACTATGCATGTTTATATACAAGAGAATATCAATATGATAATAAGGTCATACATTTAAATATTTAAGGGAGTTATATGCCTATTTCATCAATGAAGTTTTAATAAATTTATGCAGATTGTCCCGATAAATTAGCTGAGAATTTCTGCGTCTATTTATACTGGTTTTGATTTTTTTTTTTAAATAGAATCATAAGGAATATGTTGGAAACTATAAAAGATAAGCCTCTAAATTTATACCTTGATGCTTTATAGAAGACAGAATAACTTGACTATTGAATTTGTTTTTTTCCTAGGTACAGGCCAGTTAGTTCCTGTTGGACTCAAAAACTTGCGGAATTTGTAAGTATTCTTAGACTTATCTTTTAGCAAATTTTATTTTCAGTTTACTTATCATGAATTTCAGTAAATTATTTATACATTGAAATTTAAAAAGAAAATTGACTGGGAATGCACAATACAGTACCAGATGTGTTCATTAAATCTTGACTTGATTTTCAGGAGTGGTGACTTCACACCAGAATCTTCTTCCTCTCCTGTCTCTAAGAAGTTTAACAATTCTTTCACCTCCGATTCACCTGATGGCCTCAGTCACGACTTTAACTCCTCAGACTATGACCCGATACAGCACGTGTACAAGAGTCCCAGTCAGCTCCACCTGGCCTCTGACCCAGAGAAAAACCCCCATCATCGGCGTCCCAGTATACACGACTCTACTGATAACTGGCTCCTCTCCCCCAAAGGCCAGGCGGCCAGGAAGTACTTTGAAAAACTGAATTTCATCACCACCCCTAATGTCTCCCATCCTCCACATTCACGTAGCCACTCCGCAGACAGTCGCGGAAATCAGTTTGAGCGCAGGAGCCGTGCAATGCAGAAAAATGTTCCTCCCGCGGTGCTGGGTAGGGGTGCTGCTAGGTACGTGAGAAGTCGCTCACAGTCGCCTCACCAGAGTCGCAGAATGTCGCGACGTGATCAGGACGTCATGATGGCGCTCCAGGCAGGGATGGAGAAACGTCAGCGAGCGATCAGACTGTCGCTGTATCAGACTTCCCCGCCGAGCGACGACTTTGACTGGGACTTATAGCGCCATCTAGTGACGACTTGGACTTATAGCGCCATCTAGTGACGATTTTGACTGGGACTTATAGCGCCACCTCGTGACCACTTGATTGGGACTTATAGAGCCATCTAGTGACGACTTCGACTGAGACTAGAGAACCATGTAGTGACGACTTTGACTAGAATTTAGGAATCTTCGTAACTTATGTTATTAACAAAGCTGATGTATGGATTCATATTAACTTTGTTCAAAGTATTAGTAGATTGCTCAATAAAACTACATGAAAATATTGTGCATAAAATATCCAGATTCCTAAAATGACTAGAGAGAACATGCATGTTTGTTGTGGAAGGATTTGGACAAGTCTTGCACTTAAATTTGGGCTTGAAGCAAAAGTTTTCTTTATTTTTGTGGTTTTTATATGCCTAGAAGGTACATGTATACAAAGTGTAGCTTGTACAGGAAGAACTGGAGATTTCTATCTGTGATATTATTAATACTAGTATGTTTGACACATAGTGGTGAAAATGTTCTTCTGTGAATAAGAATCGGACATAATGAGTTCTGTCATTTTATGCTCTTTTAAATCGTGACATAGAAATTGTGTACTTTTGTGCTGTATATATTGTATTTATTTTAGAACACATTTGTTTGAAATGAATACAGAATAGCATGTTGCATGGTTCTTTTTTGCCTTTGTCTTTAATTCCTTGTTTTAATCATTATCTTACGTGAATATGAAATGACATACAAATATATATCAGCAATGTTTACAGTATGTGAACCTGTCAGAGTTACCCGCCCTGATTAGGGTTGTCTTTCTTGATACAGCACACAGTTTCTTTTAATAAGATATCTAAATGGTGAGGGAGATGAGAATTGTGTGTTATCTATTTTTTTATGTTTTTTTACAGACTATGTAATATAATATGTGATATTAAGATTTCCTTATAATAGGGAAGTGAGAAAGGTGATTTTATCAATTTTTATCTATTTTAATATATCCACACTTTACTACATTTGCTCATATGTTTATGAATTATACATTTTCTAACCGGTGGGTGTATTCGTGATGAGTGCTGGGGACTGCTTAGGATTCTTACTGACACTTGTGTATTTATCATGATCTTCAATTCTTAGGAATACTGTAAATGCATTATATTTGGCGTGTACAATATTTGGCCAAAAGTAATCATTAAATGTTAGCATAAATTTGATTTAGTGTTTTATGTATGTGCTAGATGTAACTTATGATATCTGCATGTATATGATATAAATTTACAAGACATTTAAGGGTGTACTGAATCTGCTTTCCACCTAAATAGCTAAATAGAGTACACCGCTAAATGTAAATAGAGTACACCGCTAAATGTAAGATGTTTACAGTAAGTAATCACCTACAAAATGATCTTCATCAATCATTATTTCATGCTCAGAGAGAAAAAGATCTATGTTTTTTTTTTTCTAGAAACAACATTCCTGTCTTTGTTTTGCCTCATTCACCAATATTACATCGAGCAAAGATCAACAAAGTTATCAAAACAAAGTGCAATTATTTTACTGCTTTCAATCTTATCTTTCATTTGATCTCTAAGAATTTATCTGGTTTGTATTCATGGAAAATCTTGATACATGTGTAAAAAAGAAGCAGAGATATTGTGTGTTGTTGAAGTTCATAGCAAGAGTATCTGTTTAACTTGAATATCTTTCTGTGCATTCCAAAGGCAGTCTTGTTTTTATCACATACATTTTATTTATCTCGAGTAAGAAAATAAAATCATTTCAAGTTTTGTGTTTTTTTTTCCTCTAACTTCTTTCAACCCGGAGCTATGGGTTTATTTTACAAACAAAACCACATGATGGAGAGAAAAAGGACAAAAAAAAATGAATTATTATAACCGATGGATATTATTATAGAAGGTAAATGGTCATATAGACATAATGAAATATCTGTTTATGAAGATGGTATTCAATTTTTTTCATTTTGGCTAAGTAGAATTTATTCCCTCGCAAGAAAGCAAGGTCCTTCTACATAAAGCAAGCAGATAATGTAAATTACAGTGGAGCCTCATTTATCCGGACACTTGCTCCTAGTCAAATACTCCAGATACAGTGTATGTGAAGTGTCTGGATACCTGAAAAATCGTCTGGATACTGAAGCATCCATTTAGTTAATATCTGGCGGCTGGATATCTGACGGTCCACTGTATGTATTCCATTACATACTATAGCTCGCACACATGAATGTAATATTATATCCCTACTATTTTTGTCGCAAAAGGACAATAATCGTGTCATGGAAGAAATGAATTCTGTATCCATGCAACTACAATCACTGATTTAGCGAAACTTGCAAAGGTTGAATTAAATAGTCCTTCACCACTTCAAAAATTATTACTGTATACAGGGATATTTTCGCCCTGTGTTATTTTTGCCCTTTTGCAGTTGCAAACAATTTTGCCCCGTTTTAAATTCGCCCAGTCATGGTTTTGTTTAAGAAATTATGCTGTGTAATTTGAATTCGTCCCGTTTTAAATTCGCCAAATCTTAAGAATTTAGAAGAATATAAATCGAAAATAAAACGGGGGCGAAAATTTCCCTGTGTACAGTATCCTCTGTGCATTCTTTTAAGATTTCACATCATTTATTCTATTTTTAAATCTTTGTGATCTGTGTGTAAATTAATACTGATCAAATGGAGGAATATACATGCCATTGTATAGATCTACCATACCTACATTGTCAAGATATTATTTTATGCCCAGAGATTGCAGGTATTAAAGCTTGAATATATATTGAATGGACTCTGTCAAGTTATAATGCCATATACTTATATTTTTTTAGTAAAATCAAAACAAGTGTTGCACTGATTACATGAAGTTGATAGGTTCTGTGCACTCTACAGACATATCATCCACTTAATAAGTACTTAGTTATATCAGGCATTCCACTATAGAGAACATGCATGTACAGGCGTACGTCTAGTATATATAAGTAGTTGTTTCAACAGAAGCCATGCAAAGCCCTCAACACAATGTTAAAGAAAAGTGGGACCTGTTCTTTCTCTAGAAACTTTAATCAAGAAATTGTGAATATGATTATCACAGACAAATAGAAGTCCAAGCAGAGACTATGGTTTTCCTGAGTAAAGCGGGGGGCACATGTCATTCTCCGGAATATCGTGGGGGACGCTTCTCCTTAAAGGCCATCAGTCCCTCAATTCTATCTTTTGTACTAATCACCTAGAAAATATGTTAAAAATATTACATTTGAGTTTATATGTATAAACATCGTGTAAATCTACTTCTATTCACATGCAAAAATAACCAACCTACAGTGCTCACTCGAGAATAATATTTGTCACAAAACATTTATTTTGCTTGACTGTATTCAGTTGTGAAAATTAATTGTCACAGATAGATTTCATACTGACGAATTATTATGCAAAAAAATATAATAAATGAACACATATTTTCAACAATAACAAACAGTTGCAAAGTAAAAGTTTAAAAATAATAATTTTTTAATTAAAATTCAACAAACTTTTTATGGTCAATACTATCTGCTTGCTAAATGTTGTATTTACAATATATGTTTATCAATGCAATTAGCTCTGGGATAAATAATCATTTAAAAAGATTTTCATCTCATTGGTTGTCTTGACAACACAGTCATCTTTATGGTTGCCTGGATAATACAATTATCTTTCAGGTTGCCTTGACAACAATCAGTAACCGTGGTACTCGGGTTTTCATTTTTCTAGCCACGCCTGCATTGCCTCTCTTCTGTCTTTGGTAGGAATTACCTAATTAAAAACAAAATTAAAATAAACACTTAAGTTAACATTTATATGTTTGCGCTCTCATGAATGGAGGCACTGAATTCAAATTGAAATTTACTTGGACTTTAAATGAATCTTCAAAGGAAAAGTATCTCCTCTACAGATATACATATACTGTCTTCTCCCTTCCCCTCTCCTCTGTATCATGGTACTTGAAAGTACAATTACCCCCCTACATGTAGGTATATAGTACTCTCTACCCTTTCTTCCCTATTTTGTTACCTATACACTTCTCCCCCCTAACACAAAGGTATTTTGTTACCTGTGAGTATCCCGCCTCCTCGAAAGACAAACCACTAGAAATATCCACCTGTAGGGTCAAGGTCAGAGAAAGATGAATGACATTTACATCTGATGTTTACTCTCAATTTAGGTTAAAATTAATATCAAAAATACCTGAAAGAAATCTTAAATGCATTTTTAAAACAATTGATACACATCATGGTAAGTATTAACGGCGTTCGATCCTAATATTTAAAGTCTTAAACTTTTTTTGCCAAGTATATTTTTAGTTTCTACATACATAGCTTAATTAAAATTCAAATCAAAAAATGGGGGTCAATATGCTTCTTTTAGCGCTAAAGTACATTTAATATGACCTTTCTGCACTGAAATTTGTGTCTTAATTAAAAATTACATCATTGACGTTTTCCCTCCAATTTTTTATCCAATTAAAGCATGAAACAAAATGAACTCTAAGTCTGTTTAAAAAAAGACACTTAAAAATTGTGACTAAGAAAAAGTTTCAAATTGCTTCAAGTAATCAATTATTTGACCTTTCTGCACTAGTAAAATGTTATTTTTCCAGCATTGAAAATATAATAAGCAAGAAAATTATTTTAAAGTCTTAAACTTTTCTGATTTTCAGCAAATAGGTCAAAGTTATCTTGAATATTTAGAAAAGAACATCAAAAGTGGGGGTATATGATGTACATTTTCAGATATTACTAAAAAAGTGTGAATTTTACGTTAAAATTGGTTCAAATTTTTACCGGATTTCAGAATATATTTACTATATTTGTCACACTTTGTTGATAGAATTCATAAGAAATAATTTAATCGATATTTCAGAACCAGCATAACATATTTCACTGCAAAAACAGCTTCGTGTGCAACCAGCATGGAAAAATAGGCATCCAAAATTAACAGTACTGTTATGGTACAAATGGAAAAAACTTACCATTTTCGTCTAAAAAACCTTCCGCCATAAAATATAGTCCCTAGCTTAATTCTACTTGAATGGAATTTAATCGCGTTTTTTTTCATTGAGTAAAGTTTAATTTGCATTGTAGAATTCAGTTTTATTGTTAGAACCTAAAAATGATGCTTAATTTTATGAATAAAGGACCTGTGCGAAATACGCTCAAAATATCAGGATCGAACGTCCTTAAGGTAAGTCACTCGTCAGGTTTTTAGAAAAGTTCACGCAGAACCTCTTACTTAAAAAATATTAATTAAAATTCAATTTTTATAAAATATTTATATTCAACAATGTAAGTTTTTTAACATTCATCGAAAAAACCGCTTAAAAATCTACAAAGAAGCAAGATTTACGAGGGACTATTTCTTGTGGTGGAAGGATATTACAAAATTTTGCAAATCTGCACATTTATTAAATTCAATGTCTTGAAACTTTAGCCTCACATACTTTTACTCGAAGAATATTTTCCATTATGATATTGCAGGAATATTTAATATATGTCTTAATTTATATTTTTAGAACAAGTTTTACACCTTCCCTCACGAAACTTTGCCAAAAAATGAAGATATATTATAGAAGTCCAGATAAAATTTACACCATTTTTTGCCTGAAAATCACACATTTTGACCAATATTTCAAAATTTACATCACTGACCCCAACTTTTTCTTTCATTATTTTAAACTACTCGATACTTGTGACTGATCAGCACTTAACTCCTAAAAAGCTTGATATAAGAAAATATTTTATTGCCTATTTAGTTTTTGAATACCCAAAATATGTTATTTTTTAGTGCAAAAAGGTCACACAATAATAAACGCGCATTGATTTTCAAGATTTGTTCAATGATAAATATTATTCAAACTATTTTATGTAAAATAAGGTGAAATTTATTAACGTAGTAACATCTAATAAAATAAAATTAGAGATAAAGTAATGAATCAAAGAGTTAAAATTTAAGTGCAAAAAGGTCAACTTAATTGTACCATAGATCAGTAATTGCACACTTGACAAAAAATTTTCTCTGCGATTTTGAGTCATACTAGATGAGTACTTATCCAAAATATACTTCCCAAAAAATCCTTGATATAACAAATTTGACGAGTGACTTACCTTAAGTAAATAGATTGCTGATTATTTTTTGATGCCTTAATAATAACATTTTTAATGTGAAATGAAAATTTGTACATCAAAGTGGAATATTTTATAATTAATCTTCTCTACTAAAACAACCAAGATATACACTGTAACTTAGAGTAAAAAAATCTCACCTCCATTCCTCTGTTGATGGCAAACTTAGCAGCTCTCAGTGCCACAGGACCCTGGAGATAATAGAAATTACACACTGTAGAAAGGATTGTTTTCACTATATATCTGTTATTTTTACCTTTTCACTCTTCCATACAATATTTTCTCATTTTAAAGTCACCCAAATCAAAGTTCATTTTAAGAAAGTGTAATGCAATTTTTTGTAGTCGTCCCATTTTTAATTTAACTGAGAGTTGAGCAAAAGAGGCTAAAATAAAACGAGGGCAAAAATTTTCCAGTGTAAAGTATACATGTATATGCATGTACCAGTGAACAGTGTTCAATAAAAAGAATGATTGAAAGCATTCAAAACATAGATGCCTCTACAATAGAAAATGTACATGTACTATCCTTTAATTACTGTAAATTATTAATTAGTTTTTGTTGAATCCTCTCTAATACACCTGTTGTACAATACATTTAGTGTACAAGTATTAACAATATCTGAGACCTGTTCAACAGAGCAAATGTTTGCGAGTGCTTGCAAATATTTCTGTTGGGTGGAGTGAGGAATTCTCGACTGATGAGCTCTCTGTTGCACAGGTCTCCGTGGGAGAGGGTAGTTTACCTGTTTTACATACAAGTATACTGTGAAATCACTCACTTTGTGGGGGGTTAATTTTCATGGTTTTCAAGGTATGAAGAGACCCATGAATTTATGTCCACCACGAAATGCAATTTTTCACATATATATATACTACTAATCAATTCTTCAACCATGAAATCAAATCCCCATGAACCAGTATATTTTCCTCAAACCATGAAAATTTTTCCCCTTGAAATTATGTGATTTTACAGAAGTTGATAATACATATACTTTCCAGTCACCATACCTGCGGGAGGATCTCCTGCGCCAGTTTCAGCGCCCGCTGATAACCTGCGTCCCCCTCCGAGTTTTGTTCCACACTGTGGTTCACTACCCCCATCTGCTCCCCCTCCTTCCCCGTAAACATGCGGGCGGCGAAGATCAGCTCCTTAGCCTTGGCAGGACCAATGGCGCGCGTTAATCTCTGTGTGCCCCCTGGTAAAGTTATTCCATACATTTAGAACATTGTATAAGATTTTCATATCTTTAATTTACAATCTGCAATCTAGACTTTACAATCTTAGTCTAGTCTATTTATTACTATTAATCTGTTAACTTTATAGGTCAAATTTTTTTTAACTGTAAATCATTAAAAATAACACCTACCATATCTACGCTTGTTATATAATATGAAACAGACAAAAATATTTTTTGATCAACTGTCACAAACCTTTTTTACAAATTTTTGTTCTACAAGTTATCTTACCCCCACCAGGAATGATGGCCAGTCTTGTTTCCACTAAACCCATCTTAGAGTCATCCGCTGTCATACAGAAATTATATTAGTAGTTTACAGTGCACATGCATTATATTATAAATCTACTTGCATTCTTTTACCCGATGGGTAAATTTAAATTATAGGATTCAGAGTTGCTACAATGAATAAATAAAAGATATACATGTATTAAGTTAGCCTTACATGCTATTCTGATGTCACAAGCTAGGGCCACTTCTAGCCCGCCACCTAATGCGTAGCCATCAATGGCGGCTATCACAGGCATGGGGAGGTTAGCCACCTCTGAGGCGCTGGCGCGTAATCCCGCCACGAATGGTCCAGTCTCAGCGTCTGTCATCTTAGCTCGCTCCTTCAAGTCTGCTCCTAAAAAAGGAAAAGGAGGCATCGAAAGTTATAAGATTTTTAACCAATAGTCATGTTATACAGGATGTGCAAAATGTCTGAGCAAGTCTACCACTGTGACAAAGGGAGACAACTTCTTACCTGCACAGAAAACCCCTTTGACTAAACTCCTGAGAATTACCACTCTGAGAGATCTGTCAAATTTCACAACTTCTGCACAGTCTGAAAACTGGTCAAATAATATTGTATGTTAAAATATTTAGTTTGGCAAAATGGTCAACTGTTTGATGTTTTGATCTAGAACAACTACTTTCAGAGTAACATTTTGCTGAGTGAAACCAGTATGTGTCTGCAATAATGAAAAGTTGGTCTTACTATTCCTAATGATTTGACTTAGATTAATTATATAATAAATTTAGGGGGCACATTGACTAAAATTTTGGAACATACGGACTAAAACATGTAAAATGATATGGAAATTTTGTTTGCTTTGACTGGCTCCCTTCATTATATTATGATACATTGAGATATCCAAGAATTTGAAATATGTGTTTCCCATTGTATTCACAAGTCTTAGTAAACATACCGACCCTGCTAACATATATCTTTGATATAAGAGCTACTTATTTTAAATGTTTAGAGTACAATTTCAGTTTCAAATGCACATGACAGAAAAAAAAGTTTCTAAAAATTACCTCTCTCAAAAACTGCTTCCCCAGGGCGTTTTTGGCTTCTGGTCTGTTCATAGAAATAACAGCAATACCTGGAAACAAGAGAGGTTTGTAAAACACTTATGCCCCTCCCCCCAAATAACTGGAACAGACACAAGCAAAGGAATATGCCCTCCCTTCTTTAAAGAGGAGCATAAAAAAATATTGACTTAACAATCTGACTTAACAAGCCAGACCTCAATTAACTTATCGCAAACATCTGGCTTTAGTCAGATTGTTGATTAAAAGATATCCTAAGAGACATTTTTTTTCTATAAAAAATTTTAAAAAACAATTAAACAGAGTTAAAATAAGAGTAACCAATTTTATCAATTAAGTTAAAAATAAATGAAAAATAAAACAAATCCGACGAGTATAGCTAGCGTAGCGTTCTTTCCAGTTTCCCATTTATTTTCACTTGATTGATAAAATAGCTGACACTTGACTTGGGGTGCACTGCAAATAGTTTGATCATACCTTTGTTGTCCCCGCCAAGATATTCTAATTTGCACTGTTCGTTGTTTTTCACACTGTCTAGTGTTGACAACTGTGCACGTCGAATGACACTCCCAAGAAATGATTTACAGTGTGCATTTCTGCACAAAAGGTGCATTCGCTTCAAAGTAAACGCCGCCATCCCACCTCCGGAACAAGTGCTTGCGTCACTAAATGTTAAAACCCTCACCGTGCTCACTACTCTCCGGATTTGCAAAGTATGGCCGCCCAGTACGATCTTCAGCATGTTCAGTCATAAGACATGGAAATAGGAATTCCATTTTTATCGATGAAGCATGCAGTTGTAAAAAAAAAAAATTGTAAACTTGCTTGAAATGTTTTATAGTGAGGTATAGTAGGGAAAAGTTCAGAAAAAAATCCCAACGTTTTAAAGTTACTGAAAAATGTTTTTATTTTTATATTTTCTTAAATTAAATTCTTGAGAATTTACAGAAAATTTATGCTTGATTTACATTACTCTAGACCAAGTAGCTGCAATAATATTGTCCTCTCCCCCTTTTTTTTGGGGGGGGGGGATATCAAATTTTTAAAAAATCGTAGGGGGCTACATTATTGCAGTTAGACTAAGCTGTTCTCCTTCACAGCTCTTGAAATATGTAGATCCAAGGGTTGGGTAGAGAATTTGCTGGATTAGGTGATGTATAAAACCATACTAATGCTCAAAATATTTTTTGTTCAATTAATTACTTAAAATACAAAACAGAAAGTCTTTAGATCGAAAAAGTTATTAAAAATATTGGAGTTTCATTTCATATAAGGGAGATAAGAAGGTGTGACTGTAATTGATTAATTGTATTTAACTTGTAATGGTACAGACTATATACATGTATATATATCAAACTCTAAAAACAAGAGACCCAGGGGCCACATCACTCACCTGAGCAACTGGCTATGTACATGTAAAAGCAAAAAAATAGTTATAAAAATGGGTTCTGGGGAGGGGGGATTTAAACAAACGTAAATCTACATTTCATTAGAATGCTTTTGTGACACATGGTTTTGTTGTTTTTAAGATGAAAATTTTTATTGATATAGCCTTTGTATTCATTTGTCCACTTTATGGCATCTAGCTAGCTCTATTCTCCAGAATTTCAAATCTACATTGCCTTTTTTATGCTTTTTAATTGATGACCAATTATCATGATGGCTTTGTGAATAATTTTAACGATTTTTACCATGCATTCCTATGTAAAACCCTGATCACCCATTGTACATATGTAGCCGCACCGGTACCCTTGCCCAAGGTGTCATGATTTGAACAAAATTAAATCTTCCCTTTCAAAAGATGCTTCTGCATGAGTTTCATCTTTCCTGGCCCAGTGAATCTTGAAAAGAAGAGTTTTAAAGATTTTTCCTACAACTCATGTTGAATTTTGATACCCCATTGTGGACCCACCCTACCCCTGGGGGTCATGATTTGAACAAACTTGAATTTTTGCTACCTGAAGATGATTCCACATATGAGTTTCATCTTTCCTGACCCAGTGGTTCTGAATAAGAAGAATTTTAAAGATTTTTCCTATGTATTCCTATGTTGAACTTTGATACCCCATTGTGACCCCATCCTACCCCCAAGGGTCTTGATTTGAACAAATTTGAATCTACACTACCTGAGGATGATTCCACAGGAGTTTCATCTTTCCTGGCCCATTTATTCTTCAGAAGAAGATTTTTATTATAAGATACCATTAATTTTTCACCAATTCATAATTATCTCTCCTTGGAAAAGGGGGTGGCACTTCATTTGAACAAACTTGAATCCCCTTTACCCAAGGATACTTTGTGGCAAGTGTGGTTGAAATTTGCCCAGTGGTTTTTGAGAAGAAGATGAAAATGTGAAAAGTTTACGATGACATTAACAACGACTACAACAACAACGGCGACAGACAAAGGGCAATTTTTTATCAGAAATGCTCACTTGAGCCTTCGGCTCAGGTGAGCTAAAAACCTCTATGGAAAATATCAACATGTCAGATAAAATTATTTCAAACTTTTATTAAATTTTCATAAATAAACATTTATAATACTGGGAGAAAAAACTTTTTCTACAAAAGATTAAAGTACATATAACACTACAGTAACTGCAGTTAAGTATGTTGTACCGTAAAAAGCATGATTGTGCATGCTGAACAGTATATATAATTATACTCTAGTGCAGAAAACACTTAGTCATATAATTATACTCCTTAATATGTAACTATTTAAAAACCCTAAAAATATGAATGAAAATTGAAAGTAGTGCAAACAAAGGCTGGTGAATGTTGCTCACCTTACAGTAATATCAATAGATACATGTAACTGAGTCCCAAAGATAAAAACAAATCTAAACACAAAGTGTCTACAAGTGTACAGACTGACAATCAAGTTACTGAACTAACATTATGTATGTGACTGTATATCTTTCATGACACACATGTAACAAAGATATATAATTTGTAAAGGCTAATCATTGATTTTTTCTAGTAAAATTTCCATATAGTAAATTTACAGTATAGCATTCAGGGTGATCCACAACATATAATACTACTGAATTTTTCATTCTTGATAAAATTATCCTTGATTAATTATAGAGTACTACGATTTTTCATTTACAAATTATTTTTAAATTTAAAGTGTTTATTACATGTACTGGAAAATTAGAACTAAACATATTAGGTAAAGTACATAGCAGCAAATACATTTCACATGCAAAAAAATGTATTAAATGAATGAATGATTTCATTATAATTTTATATATTACAAAATACCATTTCTTTTTCATCACCCTATAAATACAATATAAATCTACAGTAAATATTTTGATTAAAATAATAATATACTGACGGCCTAGGTTTAACATAATTTGATTTAATAAGTGTCCCAAAAAAACTCTATTATTTTTTGCATTAGATTTTTAACATACATGTACAAAAAAAATCTTTATATTATCTAGGCATATACAGAAGCTGGTCTAATTTTAGATTCTGAAATAGAGAACACTTGTACGATGATGAGGAAGTAGCTGTACTTATAATGATTAAACGCGATAACAAAGTCACAATACAGGCTCTTGTTTATCTTCAGTTTAGTAATAGTAGATCACTTGTTTTCAGATTTTATTATTTAAAGCTAATCAAGGATTATATGTACCTCAAAACACCAAATGACATATAAAAGAAAAGGCCAATTAAAGTACACATACTGTATCATACCAATGAATTTTCTGAATTTTGCATCTGTATGGCAAAATTCATAGTTACTGGTATTTGGGAATGGACTACGGCTCAAAAACTTGAACCTTAGGTCCTTAGGTACTGTGAGGAAATTGCTAGATGCATCATCTAGAGCAAGTCTGGTAGTGTACATCACTAGGTACAGTACCGATCGGACACATCCTAACAGAAAATGAACCAGGAGCAGACCCAGTGTTTGCTCTGTGGGTCCACTTCGGGTTCAATCTGTATCCGCTAGGGCTGCATGACCCCAAGCAAATCCGTAGCGGACCCCGAGCAAAGCCAAAGTGGACCTAGAGTGAACCCGAAGAGGACCAAAAGAGCAAACCCCAAATTCAGTAGCAGTCCCAGAAAGCGAATGTGCGATCGGTATTTCTTTACAGAGCTGTCAATCAGTATATGCGATTAACCAATCAGCGCGTCGACCAATCAAAAATGGCATATTGATCTGTCAATTGGGATAAAAGATCAAATGTGTGATCATGTTATTTGATATAAATCCAATCATTATATATATACAAGCAAAGCGTGTGAATGGACAGTATAAATCTATTATGATAATTGTAAACAAGGGGCGGGGCTTACTGGCGGCGAGATTAAAGCGGGGTCCGCTTCACGTATCAGTGCGTAAAGCAATCATAGAAAGCAATCGCCGGGTTCCCTCTAGTGGACCCAGAGCTGACCCTGAGTGAAAGCCGCCAAGTGAACCCGGAGGGGACACCGAGCGAACCTGAGAAGGGAACCCGGGGTCCGCTTCGGGTTTGCTCTGGTGTTAGGTTGTGTCCGGTCAGTACTGTATATCATCATTGCATTTTTTGTCACAGTGGGTTTCAGCTTCCTCCTTCTAAAATCTAAACAATGAAGCCTGGGCATTAAGCTCATCTTGAAGTGTGGTAAAAACTGTCTTATTTATTACTCAAACATTTGTTAATTGTTAAAAACAGGAATAATGGATTTTATCAGAGTGCCTTAAATACGTAGATCATGGCATTTTTCAAAGAGAAGTATAGGAGTTTTTCAAACCTTCTTTGGATTTCAGAGGGCGTGACTTTCTCGGCGCTATGTAAAAGCGAATACTGGTAGATTTTCATTGGTTACGAAATTAATTACATCAGGAACTTTAAATTATTGTTGATAACGATGAGACGACTTATTGTTCCACTTCTGTGACGTGAGAGAACTTTTAATTGGCTATTTTAAGTGATAGGAAGCTGTGTAAATTTCAGAAGCTAATTAGGCAACGTCGAGAATGCCACGCCTTACTGAAAGTCCATACTAAGCCTGTAATGGTAATAATGTAAACTTGTAAAGATATATTGGGGACTCTAAAGCTTAGTCTCATTTTGTCTCGGTAAATAAAAGCTTCATACCCCCCCCCCCCCCCAAAAAAAAAATAAAAATACACTTGTACATTTTATTTTGAAAATACCCTTTTACATCAATATAATGGGGGTACAATCCTGCATAATCTATGCTATTATGTCAAAAATTTTGAAAGCATTTTTTAATAAATTATGACAAAATTAATCTAAATATGGCAATGTAAAATATTTTCAAATGAAGTAAGTTTAATGTTGAATTGATTGTCTTGAAGATAATATCACAATAAAAAAAAACTTCCTGAGTGGAATTCTCTTTTGAAAAAAAATGAGTTCATTTAATTTCATCAAAACCAGGATGGTAGTTTCTTGTATTGCGTAAGTCATACTAGTGGAAGGTGTAATTTGTCATAGATTATTGTTACGAGATGGGACTAACTGTTAGATGAGTAGATGATGGATCAAAGTAAGTCCAAGCATTCAAAACTGGACTGCACAGTTAATATTACATGTCATTGACGAAGTCTTGATACAAAGATTAATTCAAAACTATAATTATAACATACAAACTGTGTGTCTTGGCTATAAATAAACGTCTGACACAAAATAGCTAGCTAAAATCAACATTCAGAGTATCAAAAATATACTTAGCTCTAGGAATTCTATTACATACATCTAAATTTTCCCTGGAAGTTTTACTTTAATTTACATTTGTATGTTCATGAAAATAAAATATTTAAACGAGCCTATGCATACAATAAATGTTATTTATAGTCCTTTATGAATTAGGTTGGTACATTTGTATTAAGGGAGGATGTGTTAACTAGAGCAGCTGCTTGTAACAAGTCAAAATTTAGTTCTAAGAGTAGGATGAGGGAAAATGGATATCAAAAATAAATAATTATTTCATTTTCTAAACAGTTAAATGCTTGGAATGTATAGCCATGGAATAAATAGGTTATTATAAATGTTTCTGAAAGAAATAAAAATTTTTCTAAAATTATAATTACATATGGTAATATAAACATATAAGTAGAGTAAAAAGAAAAAATGTGTCAAAGATATAAACTTTACAAAGATGAATGATAAATTATATGCAGTTTGTAAAATCGCAAACAGAGTTTTACCAAAATTAAACCATGATGCCTTCCTATATACAGCAAAACTCGTTTAGTATGAACACAGATATTGCGAATTCATGGTTATAGCGAAGTTATCTTGGAACCCCCAGCTATATAAATTTGATGAATTCCTATATAAGTATATAACAAATTACAGATATAGTGAAGTAACTGTAATTTTATTGGTCCCGGTGACTTCGTTATAACAGAGTTTTACTGTACAAATAACTCTTTTGACATATATAACAAATATCACACTTAACTTCTCAGAGCAACAACAGAGCTGTAAGATAAAAATTCAGTGTAATCTAATGGCACTACGGGAAATTTTGTTATCAAATAACAATAATAATCAAAATTTCACAAGGGAAAAAAAGAAATATGTACATGTTTGGTCCGATTTGTAAGGGAGGTCATCACATTTCTCTTTGTCTGCTTTGTAAGGGAAGTCATCAAATCAAATTTACTGTTTGGCTACAAACTTGAAAATTTGCATAAGAATGCATCAAATCATCACCGTTATTGTAAAAAAATAACAACAACTAGAAACAGAGACAAAGTTGAAAATTTGGCTCCAGGTTCCTCACATCCCACCATTTAGGAACTTTATAAAGATTATTGAGAGTTTATCAATAATGTCTTTTAGCTGCTCGCACTCCGCCATTAAGGAACTTTGATGAGAGTTAATCAATAATGTCCTGTCGCTGTTTACACTCCGCCATATAGGAACTTTGAGAGTTTATCAATAATATCACGTCGCTGTTTACACTCCGCCGTTGAGGAACTTTGAGAGTTTATCAATAATATCCTGTCGCTGCATCTCCGGTTTGGCCAGGACGTCCACCAGCTGTTTGACGGTCATCCTCTTGGTCTGGTCCAAGTCCAGTAGCAGCATCTTAGCTGGCTCCAGTTTTGTTTCGTACACCAAGATTTCTTCTACGGTAAACCCAAGTAACCCTGTCAAATAGAAAAATTGTATACCGGGGTAAGACACAGGTACAATGTCATGATCATACAATTAATCATAGAGTAAACTTCTGTAGAAGTACTTTCTTCTGTGTGGTACACGTGTATTAATTTTATACATTATGTATATGGTCACAAATTTTCCATGGAAAATTTTCCAAGTGTACTGAATATAAATGTAAGGCATATAGTGACAATCTAAGAAATCAACATAATTTTCAATCCGCAGATTAAACGGAAACTGAGATTCCGCGGAATTATAACCTGTGGAAAAAAGTGTGTCAGTCTACAGTATATTCAATGGTACAGAAATGTTTGGGTCAATGTTGGCTTTAGTCTGGTTGAACAGTACTCAGACGTCATATCACAACAAGAGGCCCATGGGCCACATCGCTCACCTGAGCACTGGAAAAAGTAGAAAATGGCTTTTTATTGTAAAGTTTATATCCAAAAGTAGTCCCATAACCAATCATGGATTTGCTATTTTTTAAATGATTTTTAAAGAATTTTCCTATATATATCTTTAAAAAATTTTGTTGGCCATTTTGGCCTACACTAACTGAGCATGCTTCCATATGAATATGATGAATTATGGCTGTGTCATTCTTGAGAAGAAGATCTTTAAAGAATTTTCCTATATATTTCTATGTAAAACTTTGGTCGGCCATTTTGGCCCCGCCCTACCCCCGGGGGTCATGATTTGAACAAACTTGAATCTACACTACCTGAGAATGCTTCCATATATATATGATGAATAATGGCTGTGTCATTCTTGAGAAGAAGATTTTTAAAGAATTTTCCTATATATATTTCTATGTAAAACTTTGGTCGGCCATTTTGGCCCCGCCTTACCCCCAGGGGTCATGATTTGAACAAACTTGAATCTACACTACCTAAGCATGCTTCCATATATATATGATGAATTATGGCTTTGTCATTCTTGAGAAGAAGATTTTTAAAGAATTTTCCTATATATATTTTTATGTAAAACTTTGGTTGGCCATTTTGGCCCCGCCCTACCCCAGGGGGTTATTATTTGAACAAACTTGAATCTACACTAACTGAGCATGCTTCCATATGAATATGATGAATTATGGCTTTGTCATTCTTGAGAAGAAGATTTTTAAAGAATTTTCCTATATATTTCTATGTAAAACTTTGGTCGACCATTTTGGCCCCGCCCTACCCCCGGGGGTCATGATTTGAACAAACTTGAATCTACACTACCTAAGCATGCTTCCATAAAAATACGATGAATTATGGCTGTGTCATTCTTGAGAAAAAGAGTTTTAAAGAATTTTCCTATATATTTCTATGTAAACCTTTGGTCGGCCATTTTGGCCCCGCCTTACCCCCGGGGGTCATGATTTGAACAAACTTGAATCTACACTACCTGAGGATGTTTCCCCATAAGTTTCAGCTTTCCTGGCACAGTGGTTCTTGAGAAGAAGATTTTTAAAATACGCCACCAAATTTTCATTAATTCCCAATTATCTCCCCTTGAATGAGGGCCTGGCCCTTCATTTGAACAAACTTGAATCCCCTTCACCCAAGGATACTTTGTGGCAAGTTTGGTTGAAATTGGCCCAGCGGTTCTTGAGAAGAAGTCGAAAATGTGAAAAGTTTACAGACAGACGGACAGCTGGACAGACAGACGGACAGACAGACAGGCGGACAGACAGACGGACGCCAGACAAAATGTGATCAGAAAAGCTCACTTGAGCTTTCAGCTCAGGTGAGCTAAAAACAAAAGCAGGCACGTTGATGACTGAACAAGAGATTTAACTTGCCTTTTGACATTAGCACCATCAAAAAATTAAAACCCAGCATTTTGTGCTTCTCGCGAAATAATATGATTTTAAATCCCTTGTGTCTATTAAGGTACCCTGTACGCCAGATAGATTTCATGCTTTACCTGCTAGACATCTCCAGTCCTTCTGTACATTAATCTGAAGGTTCTCGTACACGTCCTTAAAGACGTTGTAGGGCAGGGACTTGATGTATAGGGGGGCAGGTCCTGGGGTCTCAAACGACTTGAAGCTCTCGTTAGACCCCGTCTCTGTGTCCTGATGAGGGAGTAGTTCATGGCGACCGGACTGCTGCTTCTTAGAGGGCTAATAAATACAGAACACAGGGAAATAACAACTGAAATATGTTAGGTGGAGAAACTGCTTCTTAGAGGGCTAATAAATACAGAACACAGTGAAATAACAACTGAAACATGTTAGGTGGAGAAACTGAATCAGAACATTTACTTTTGACCGAGCATGTGTATCAGCCAGTCAAATTAAAACCAGCGAATCTTCTTCTATGTGTAAACATTGTCAATGCTGAGAGAAAGGGGAACTGGCTTTAATTAGACTGGTACTTCTGCATTAAGTGATGGATGAAAGGTCACTGATACTGACCTTGAGCCAGACCTTGACCTGATTGTCCACCTTGATGTTACCACAAAAAATGGGAAGCCCCTCGGCCAGGTCTAAAATGTGGAGTTCCTCGGAGTTCTTCCTTGTGTGTTGTGCGTAGCTACATTTCTCCTGTAGAGGGCAGGCTGGACCTAACACATACTTGACCTCTGACCCTAGACTTGATTTGCATATTTCTGTCAGCCAATCTAATACTGCATGTAATCTTACATTTTTCTCTAGTCTGTAAACAAAAAGAAATTGTTTTTTATGCATCTTAATTTAAATATACACATAGCAAAATAAAACACTTAATATTGAACTTCCTGTTTGTCTCCGCGGAAACAGAACAAGGTTAATCTGGTACAAGTCCTGTCAATAGACTACACTGAGTGATCTCTGCGTTTACTTCTGTGTTAACAACTTATACTCACTACTTTATTAATTGTCACATCCTTTAGCCTCCAAGCAGGGTTACCTGCTACAAGCTATTGATCAGTAAACTCTCTTTATACATAATGATCCCTCCATTGTTCATTAAAAAGAAGCTATTCCCCAGGGATTTCCCCTAAATAACCCTCATTAGTGTAGGAACTAAATGTTTATTGCCTATTGATCTGAATTCAGCAACATTTTTCATTATCTTTTCATTCCAATTAATCTGATGTTAAAGAAGCCAGACAGACTAAGGAGAAAGCTAGCATTGCTCTCTTGATCAGGTCCTAAGATTTATCAACAAATCAATCTTTAATACCCTGTGACTGATAAGACTTGGGTATTCTAATAGAACCAATACCTTTTGTGTACTCTTGTATGCTCAAAAGACAACAGCTCAATTTGTGAAATACTGGTACCATATAAGTGGACAATTTAGCGAGACGCAAATTTAGCGATTTTTACCTAAAATCTTGTGTTTTATTTTTAGTGAGAAGTAATTTTAGCGATTTTCAAATGATAACTAAATAAGCTATTACGTATAATACGCAATTATTTTTTAGCGATATTTAATTTTAATGATGTCAGCACCCTCGCTAATAATGCCAAAATTAAATCCTCGCTAAAAATTCTACTTAATATACAGTTTTACTGGTGAAAAGCAGAAAGTGAGAATAACATTAAAACAGCTCATTTCTGAAAGGCCAATCAAGATCAGATGCAGCATCTATTTAACAAGTAACAAAACTAATTTTTTAAATCCAAAAAAGATAAATCTCAATAGTAACAAAATTGGAATCTACACTATGTAAAAGCATTTACAATTACATCATGTTTCATCTTTTCTGGCAAAGTTAATATTGGGGAGAAAATTTTTAGAAGATGCCATAAAATTTCCACTAGCTAATTTTTAATCATCTTGAAAGTATATGCAGGGTTCGACACTAACGGTAGCCCGCTGGCCCGGGACAACTGAATGTTGAGGTCGGGCTACCAAACATGCCTTTAAACTTGCCCTGCATGGCTACTAAGAATTTTACTAAGTACTCACTTAGAGCAACAAATATAATTATCAATTACACATAATGTATCTAATAATTATTAAATCTATTTTCAAACATGTTTTATCATCATAATTATTATTTTTGTATGTCAAAATTGTAAAAATTAAAGGTGATTCGAAATATCCTAAATGATTATATATGTGTACTTCTTCGAATAGAAAAATTTCTAAAGTACAATCATAGGGTGACATATATTTTTTACCCAAAATACAGCCAGAATGCAGGATTTGGCTTCTCTATTTTCAAAATTTCCCGGGGGAGGTCCCCCGTACCCCCACCGGCAGGAGGGGGAAACCCCCTCCCGCACCTACCCCCCTCGTCGCTTCACGACTCGGGCTGCTGGACAACTAATACATGAACAGGGCTAGTAGAAATTAGAAATGGCTAGCCCTGTTGACAACTATGGTTTAAAAGTTAGTGTCGACCCCTGTATATGTGGCTCTTCATTCATTTGAACAAACTTGAATCCCCTTTACCTATGGATTCTTTTGTGGCAAGTTTGGTTGAAATTGGCCTAGTAGGATTTCAAAAGTTAAAAAGTGTTCTAAAATTCTGAAAGGATAGTTAACACACAAGAGACAAATGCTGGATGTCTTTGGATTAGAAAAGTTCACCTGAATCTTGGGTTAGGTTCATGTAAGCTAAAATAAAGATTAATTTACCAAAGTCACTTAGCAAGTAGCTCAAAAGCACATGCCAGCCATGCTTGGATGCATCATGTGTTAAAAATGACTTATGTCAAGCTAGAGAGAGAGGTCTTAATGGTTTTTAACAACAAATGTACATAACCAGTCATGTTAAATCAAAATCTACTGCAGTTAAGGTGGGGTGAGATGGAGGTACTATGTGATGTTTCTTCTACAGGAATAAGGATAGTTTAGAATCCCACTGTTTGTCTTTGTGTGGATGGCAACTAAGACTCTTTAATAATTATGTTTTAAAATGTGTAAAGTCATTGTTTTGGTTCCTAACTTTTGAAATTGATTCTGTTACACTTTACATCACGTTTTTCAGAGTGTAAAGCCATTGTGACTCGGATCCTACCTGTTGAGTTGAATCTGTATCCTGTCTCGGAGTTTCTCGTGGGTCAGCGTGATTTCGTACCCCGCGTGGTGGATCACACTGGTGGTACTATTGGTCACCACCAGAGAGCGGGCATCACTGGCATTGTTCAATCGGAACACAAGATGAAAATAGATCATACTGGATATGTGTGGGGGGTTTCCTCGGAGCTGGAAGTAAAGACTCCCTGTCGTGTACTCAAAGGTCTCGGAAAACACCGGCTCAGGAATGAAACATGGAATAAAATAATGGCTGCCATCGATTGCTTCCTGTCTGAAGATCAAACCAAAGGCCTGAAGTAAGAGCAGGGCCTTGTCTGGACTCAGCTGTAGCTTTGTACTGGACATGGAATACAGGTCAGTCTGGGGACAAAGTTCTGACCAATCAGATTGCAGGAAAAATCCTGATGCAATGAGTTTGAGCCAGATTTGTTTGATTGCCTCATTTGATTGGATGATTCTTGGAGAGATTGTCTGTAATTGGTGGATTCTGTCCAATAGGATGTCAGGCCTTATAAACAGGAGTTTGTCTAGCTGGCTGATGCTGGATACAGGTAATAAGGCTGCCTCTGAAAAGCATTTACAGGTACACAACATACAATTTAAAAGTTTACCGTGTACACAATATACAATTTAAAAGTTTACTGTGTAAACAAGAAAATAAGACAGACATCGTAACAGGATGATCAAATCCGAAGACAAACAGCTCTTGTGGGAACCAATGAAATATATAGTTATATGGATTCCCTATACATGTCTTAATTTATGAATCACGTGGATAAGCATGTAATACTCAAAATTTAAAGTGGAATTTAATTTGTGTTTCATCTATTGAATTACTGCACTTCAGGGTGTTGTATATCACACAAAACTGACTGTGTTCATTTAATATTTTTATTGTTCAGAACATGTAAATTTAGCATTGTTCAATTTTCCAACACAACTTGTATGATTTATAGCTTGGTCTGTAAAATGCAAACATAAAACTTTAAAATAGTTTCACTCGGCAAGGCAGTTTTATCTGGTTTTCATTTGTTCAGCTAAACAAATTCAACAACCCTCAATTTTTTAAATAAAATTTCCCCGAGTCAAAGTGTAAAACAAACAAGATCATGATAAACTTACTTGTGGATAAGATTTCTCCAAATTCCAGTAACTCGGTCCACACCACTTGTCTGATTCCTAGATCCGCTCCTGGAATGGTCTCCTGGAAAGCTGCCGTAAAATCGTCCTCATCAATGCAGGCCACATCACTCTGTCTCCTCTGTTCTAATTGGTGGATCATCGCCATGGAGATTAGTAGGATGTACTGTTTCTCCTGAATCTCACAGATAGATCTCCACACGCTGTTCTGTACCTCTACACAGGGTCGCGCGCCGTTAGAGAAGTGGAACAGGTGTGGATGTCGCGGAACGTTATATTTCACGATCTGATATCCGTGAGAGGTATAGAATAAGGTCCGGACTTCGTCAATGGTGGCTGTAGACGCTATGTCAGAAGAATCTACTCCCAGAAGTCCATAGGTTTGAATGGGACACTCGTACCCAACTGTTCCGCGAATGGTGTGTATCGTGTTCTGTAAGCGGTGAATTTCACAGGGAGGGGACTTCAACATTTTATCACCATCAAAGGTCAACAGAAATACACTGGTCCTAGTGAATAAATACTGACAGCACTGAAGGAAGAATTTCTCATCGTACACAATAAAAATCTCGGTGTTAATCGCCCCACAGCCTAGACTACTGGGGTAGGATCGATCACTGGTATCACAGTGGTTCAGGGAGTCATTACTGGCGTGCCTCACCCGCTCGTCTATCTGTAGGAGCCGGTCATACTGAGACCACGGCTCAAACCCGACCTCACCCGACCTCTCCATCGCCATGGTAGCAAACACTCGGTCAAAGAGCCTCACTGTATTATCAGCGGGTAACAGGAAGTTGGGTAGAAGTAACTGTGAGAGCTGTCTGGCGTTTGTACCACAGATAAATATCCTCACTTTGGGGAATTTTACTTTCATCTGGAAATCGTCGGGTCCTCCTGACGTACCATCAGCGGACTGCAGACCCGGGACGAAGATCTGGACATGCTCGACCTTAGCGCCGGGAGAAATGGGTCGGATTGTGAACAGACTGCTGGGGTCCAGGGTACTGGGGCTCTGTTTAGGCTTCACCTGCCTGGGTTCACAGCTTCCTGAGCTGAAGGTTGAGGACATAGAAGCCTTGGACATGGTACTGGGCTGACGTATGTAGCCATCAGACCGACCCCCGACCTTGGCATTTACCGGCGAACAGCTCCCGGGGAGGGGGACGTTAGATTTGACCGGCTGTCCGGTGATGTCTGTTAACACGGTGGGAGCAGAGATGGGCGAGTGTGGGGGGTTGGGCTCTACGATCTCGGGGCGGTGGCCAGACTGAAAGGACTTGTGTCGGGGTAACATTCCCTCCGGTCGCTGAAACACGACCTTCACTTCCTTTAATCTCTCTAACTTCTTCTCCAGGAATAGGGCCTGCAGGAATCATCACAGAGTTCAGAAATTATAAAATATCTCAATATATCCCCACAACAGTTATATAATTATAAATCTTTATTTCAATTACCAGCTGAGATTTTATTTTAAATTATGGTTGCATTTTCATCTTTATTTTTATGACCAAGAGTTAACTTTCATCATTGTGAAAATAAAATGATTTTATGATAAAATAAATCATAAAAAAATTCAATTTTTAAGATCCTTACCTCTTTGGGGTTCGCCAGAGCGTGACCGTCAATGGACCGTATCCAGTCTCCCACCATTAACTTGCCGTCTGCTGGACCCCCTTCTGTCACTGACGTCACCAGGGTGTACCAATCATCAACATTCTGTCAAAACAAAGTCATGACATGAAAACATGCACAGCTCACACAGAGTACTGTAAAATCACACATTTTCATTGGGTCAAATTTTCAAGTTTTAAGTTTTAAGAAAGGAATACTGGTTTGTGGGGATTTGATTTCGAGATTGGAGAAGTGTTGCATTTAATTTAGTATAACAATGCATGTGAATTTTTACATTTAGAGTTGCTTGGTCATGAATTCAATGCTCTCTCCATACCTTGGAAACAACGAAAATTAAACCCCCAAGAATGATGAAAATAAGTGATTTCACAGTAACTAACATATTTAAACAGTGTTGTACAAGGAAAAGATTAATACGAATGGTAAATTCTGATTTAGTAGACTAACTGCTTTACTTACATTTTTGAATTCCTTGACTTTGTACGAGAAGCCAAACTTTCCTTGAGATGAGGTTGTTAGGTCCACGGCTTTAGTCAGGCAGTCCCACTTCACACGGTGAGGGTACTTAAACAAGTCCTCATAGCTCCCCACAAAGCCCACCGACCTTGCCCAGGAGTTACTCCCCTTCCCCATTAGATTGGCGTGATTGTGTGTGGTACAGTTGTTGTTTTTACACTCCTTGCAAACCCCCGAGCCCACAGGCATCGAGTGATACTGCTCCTCCCCCGCTAGGGGGCGCTCTGACATGGCCGGCATCGAGCACACCCTCTCCTCGTAACAGCTGGCCGTGTTAAAGTGCTGGTCTACCTGCGATCCCACACGCTGCTCTCCGGCCAGTAGCGAGTCGTGTTCGCTGGATTCTTTTTCGTCGTTCTCCACGCTGTTGGACTTGATCATCCGCCTCATTCCGCTGATTTTCTTCCTGACTTCCATGGAGCTGGACGACTCACTCGAGTTTGATAGTTGAGATCGAGTTCTCTTGTTGTTTTTTAACACATCACAGACAGTTAGTGTAACGGAGCAATCTTGGATTGAGTCGATGAGACCAAACACCTGGTCTTCAGTCAGTCCCCGCAGGTCATTCCCATTTATACTGACCACACACTCAAACTGGGTCAGCTGTGAACCGCTCAGGAGACGACACTCAGGCTTCACCTCTGTCACAATACAGCACGTGTCCGAATCACCGATCTTCTGGAATACAACAAACAAAGCTCTTTAGATTATTTATAATTAGGAACATTGACTTCTTCTGTAAGCTGAAGCAAAAGTCTTTTAAACGGTCAAATTGTTATAGTATCATTCTATAACATATGACAAATGTAAAAGATCTGGATACAGAAGAGGTATTTAATGCATGTCATGAAGTAATTAAATCACACCAGTGCTTTGTCACACAACTTGTAATATTTTTATTCAGTTAAAAACTCTAACCACATTTTCAAATGATTCAGATACATGTATAACTGATTTAAAAGTCTTGCATGTGGCCACTTCCCCTGACTATATGACTATGCTATAATCATGATAATTCTTAACTCTGTATTTTTACTTATAAAATTATACATTTCTTTTGGAAAATCAATTAGGTTCAAGCAACATTTTATATAAGTGAGCAGAGGGGTTTGTGAACCTTTAGTTGTCTCTGAAATTTGCTGTTGATATGGAACTTAGTCCTATCTACCTGCTGTTCCAATTAGGAATCATGACAAATAATGCTTCAAGTAGCCCTAAACAGGAAGTCTGATGGAAATCAAATTAATTTCCAAACAGGGATCTAAGGCTCGTATCTGCCACACGCTCGGCAGATGTTCAATGTTTACCTTTATTTCTAATTTCTCCTACTGCGAACGTGCATTTGACAAATTCATAGGCAGCCAAGGAGAATTTAATATCAAGTTGTTACCCCACTTCAACAGTTTCCCCCAGGGTATTTAAAAGCTTATCTGAGAGCGCTTGTCAATTGACATTAGTAAGTAAACATTAGTTCTGATCAGACTGAACTATTTGCAATCAAATAATTATGATAATTCAATTATGAAATGCTTTGAATTGATTTATTAAAAAATTATAATAAAATGTAATATATGTTTTGGATGAATCATTGATAATTTTTAAATTATTTTTTAATTCAACAAATTTTTAAAATATCTTTTATCAAATGATTTTTCACTAATAAGTTCAATATAAAAGTTTACACAAATCAAAAGTTCAAACCTCTATACATGATATAGGGAATATTCATAAGAAGAGAAAAGTCCTATATATTAAAGTAAATTTTGGAGATTTCGCTATAAGTATAATAGATTGCTCACAAAAAATAATTTCAGGTAAACATCAGCGAAGAACAATTATTGAGACAGACTGAGACATCATTTGAAAGTCTGGATTTTGCGGAGTCCCTTCAAACATTAAACAAACAATGTATCATCACTTTGTCTGAGACAGAACGCACACATCCCTGTGTACCCACACTCCCTGTTGGCACTTAAAGTTCATGACAGCAGGGAGATTTTCAGAAATTCATAACAATTACATACATGTACTTGTAAACTGAAGTGGGGGGTGTGATTTGTTGAAAGAATTAGTTTCTGAAACCTTAAAAAACTTTAGGAAGTAAATGAATAATTACAAATAACATCCTTGACAATGGAAGTATGTGACACAATTGTTCATCTCTTTCAGTAATCATTTTCCAGTACCCCAAATTTTAAAATGAGAATTGATTTATTAATGATTTTCTTAATAGTAAGATTCTACTGTATATAGTACTGGTTCAACATCATGGAAAGAAATAATTTTGCCACACAACTTCCAGTCATAATGATTATAATAATTATATCAAAATTAAGTCTTAATTTTATTATGGACAGATATCTTTATTATCAATGAATTTAAAGAATCCTTTCTAACAGGAAAGGGCAATTTAAATGTATGGCAGGGCCAGGAATCAAACCCAGGACCCCTGCACTGAAGTGCTCCAATAACTGTCCAGGCCAAAATCCAAAGTCCATACCATTATATTCTTAGACTAATAAACAAGTAAATTATAGCATTGTTTCTCCCTTTCTGGCATCCAAGCGTTATGTCCCCACCCCACATAAGAAACTGTGATAGTATAAAGTCATGATGACAAAATCACTGGCACGGGGCTACCGTAGACGTCTTTAATTCCACATTTCTAACATTTCACTATTTGTTAGAAAGTTACCTTTAACAGTGGTTTTAATTTCATGGTGAATCGTTTATAAATATTCAGCTTCTCTGCCTATTTTTAGGTAGAAATGAAGTGAAATAATAATCACGATGGTTTAAAGTTGGCAGAAAATTCTTAAATCCTGAACATAATGAAATTAAAAACACTATGTTTTCCACTTCTACAGTAAAATACTACAATATTTATGATGTTCATCAAAGTGACTAGTTTGTTGATTTTCATCAGTGCAAAGAAACTCTTGAATGGTTTAATTGAGTTGTTAAATTAAAAGTCTCTGAATATTACGGTAACTGTGTGCGAAACTAACTTCAAAGTCCTATAGACTTTCGGTCCATAGACATTTCATTTTCTATAGACCGCAGCAACTTCCTATGGACCGAAATTTAGAATACTACATTCAATGCTAAAATATTGAAATTAAAATAAACGTATTTGATGTAAAATGGTGAAATCATTACACTTTCCAGTAGTTTTTGTACTGGATAAAAGATTACAACAAGAATCAAAAAACACGGTAAGACGACTGACTACAACAGCATTGATAAACGACTCAAACATTGAGAATGTCTGTCTGATAGACAAGAGTAATAATAATTCCCGGGCGTGCACCCTCAACATACTTTAAACGGTCGAAGAAGGACATGTTTCTTCTGCACTGTTTTGGTGTCCGCGGCCATTAAGTAATCACAACTTAACCTCCCCTCATGCTAAAAATAGAATATTCAGATTCGAATTATTTCTGCATACATCGTGGAACAAACTATCATAACTAAGGGGTGAACAGAATACATCAGTGTAATACATTTAAACGTGATTTGTTTATTAGAGACAAGCAGGGAACCAGTCTGAAATTCCTATAGACAAGTCGGTCTAAAACACAGACCGACTGATGACATTGTCTACCGGTCCACCGTTAATTTCGCACACTGCGGTAATATTAATTAATAAATGTAATGTATACAGGGTTATTTTTGCCTCATTTAATTTTCGCCATTTCACACTTGGAAACAATTTTAAATTCCCCCAATCAGAATTTTATTAAAAAAATTATACCGTATTATTTCATTTCACCCCGTTTAAAATTCGCACAAATGAGGGTAGGGCGAAAGGGACGAAAATAAAATGGGGGCAGTACAGTATTAACAGTATACAGTATTAACTAAGTCTGTGAATATTTTATCTTGAGACACTCACTTGGACTTTGAGTTTGATTCCGAGTTTTCCAGACGGGCTCCTCTGAATGATGACGGTATGCGTATTTACAAAAGGAACATGTGGTGACTTGAGAAGGTCTAGGAGAAGTAGGTACTTGTGTTTCTCTGAGGGGACTGACCCCATACCGCCAACGTGGTCACAGCATCACATCACGGCAGTCTGAAAATACAAAACAGAGCTGCATTGTAATCTATATGAACATGATTAAAATGTCACCATGATCATGATGATAAAGCAACAAACTCACAAAAATTCAATATGGAGATTCGAACAGTCATGAACATGGTAAGTATAGTTCCTTCCTAAATTCCAGAAGAAAAATTGAAATGCTGACCTTAGAGTACTTTCACAATCTAACAATAAGGTTATGAGTAAATTCATCAATGAAATTCACTGTCAGCACACATTATTCAGACATTCCCAGTTAAAGTGTAACAGGAAAAGACAAAAATGCAACAGAGCAGAACAAGATTTGAACCCCGGTCCCCAGCATCACTAGTCAGGTGCTCTACTGACAGATTGTTATCTGGCCTGAACTGGGGATCAAACCTCCCTAACGGCCAGCATAAGAAGAAAAAAAAAATAAAATACATGTCATACATGAATTCTGTTACTCCACAATCAAATTCCTTGGCACTTTTTAACACATTCAATGTAGAAGTGAATACATAAGCTGCATCCCTTCAGCTGTTTTACCTGCGATTACCTGGATAACGACTTTACCTGTGTACACCTGTAGAACTGTATCACCCCCGTAAGGAGTGGGGGTCAATACCCGACCTGCCTCTTACTAAAGCAAATGTTGTCAGTGGAAGCCTGCATTGACAATCAAACATTGATTTAGTTCTATACACCAGGTCTGCTTCAAAGATTTAAAACCTGAATATTTCAAAAATACCTTCTATTCTATCAATTTTTAATGTACCTATACACCAACATGAAATGAATGTAGCTGATGCACAATTTGCCAAGAATATGCATGTAATATAAGTTCAAAATATACAGTATGTAGATTAACACTGTAGAAAAAATTTATTCAAGCCTACCCTTTGCAGCTGTTTAGAATACTTGTTAAAAATAACGAAAAAGTGAAGATCAATTAAAAACATATTGCATACATGTCATACTGATGAAAATTAATCAGAAAATTTAGCCGAAAGTTGACTGTGTTTACAAACAAGCTTGCAACTCTTTTCCATCAAGTCTGCAATAAAATATCATCATATTATCTATATTAAACTTGTACAATAAGCCTGATATGTACCTGCATAGCATGCATTGAGAAAATCACTAAAAATCCCAAAAAAAATCTGTGAGAGGAAATTCCACTCTGAGACAATTTCTCTTTTACACAGTAACGAGTTCATTTCACATCCCTTACACATAAAGAAAACATGAGTATGGACACATCAGCCGGAAAGAGGAGAACTTCTTCCTGTTCAGAACATCACTACCTCCTTAAGTGGAAGCCTCGATATTCCACGGTCTCTCCCGTGTACACAATGTAACATCCTCAAGGCTAAACAGGTCTCTGATCTTAGCATCTAACTTACGCTTAGACTGCAAGGACACATGCTCTTCTTAAAAAACTGACAGCAAAGTAAAATAATATAGTACACCATTCTAATAGTATACCAACTCCAATGTTGAAAAAAAGCAGGAAAATGTATAAACACGGTATCCAACAAAAAAATTCACCATATTTGTCATATTTGTTTTCTTAGTCCAAATTATGAACAGTAAACACAATAATTGAGTAACTGACTTGAAACAATATGCTGCGCCTTGATGAATTGTTGATCTTAACTGTATAAAATCTTTCTGTGGATAAACATTCTTGAGTTTCTCTCAGTTTATTTTGATGCTTGTTATACTTAAGTAGTGTTTTTGGTTTACTCATTACTAACATATAAAATTACGCACAAGAAATTGTATGCACTTCGGTACTTGACAATGGTTTTCGAGGTGTGAAATTATCTGTATTGTTATCCTAAACTACATGCTGTATTTATCATTATATTATACATGATAGACAGAGAAAATAGAGGTTTATGTTGAGTAAGTGGATGTATTTAACATGTTGACAGAGATTGTCATTTCTTTCCCCCACCCAATGCATATATGCAGAAATTTAAGGCACTTTTATGACATGAGAACAGAATTTGACTCTCTTGGTTAATTGCTGGAACTTAAAAATCTATAGCATGTATAGAGAAGTTCTCAATCCTTCAAATTAAAACAACAGCACTTTCTCAGCTTGATCCTCTTGTTAAATAAACATGATCATATTGACAAAAGATTTACCTTACATTCTTTTGAAACGGAAGTTGATTTTTTATCGTTTAGTTTCGTATAAACGTTAGACCTACGTTTTCACTTAATTCTTAAACACTAAAAAAATATTAATTATCATGCAAGTAGTATGAATCTGCCACTATACTGGGACTGCGTTGGGATAATACTGATTGCATTGCAGGACCTTTGAGACCTCTCTGGTGACGGAGTTGTGAAACCTTAGCTTGTTTCTCCTCCTACACACGGTCATAAGACCTGAATAAGGCAGACAGTTGCGGGGGATAGACAGCTAAGTGTTGTAGACTACCCAAAAGCGTAAGACCTGAATAAGGCAGTCACTTGGTAGTATAGATCGAGAGAGGTGGCATACCACAGTGAGAAGTGGGGGAAGTGCCAGGAGTCAGTGCAGTGAGAAGTGGCAGGACAGAAGAAATCTACTTACGGGAGACACCCGTTGACCACAGCTAGTGGTTGTCCAATCAAGAAGAAACCCATTGTATTTGTATATATTTGATTTTAATATTATTTGGTCAACAAAAATCTGAGTTAACAGGTTAACGAACCCAAGTGTAACGCCTCGGTGATACAAGACATATCACCACACACCCAAGCTCGGCCGCGTTGCACGTTACACTTTGATCTCATGCCCTAGGTAAAATTTTATCCCTATCTGGGAGTTAGTAATGCTGGGGAATTATAAGTAATGAAGGGGTGTTTACTGATATTATAAAACACTCTGATTAGTAAATACCTTGCTGGTTACTGTTAATGGTTAGTTAATAAACATGACAAATGCTTATAAACTTTAAACTTAAAAAACTTAGTACAAATTTAACATTTAGATTAAGTGCACTACAGGTTGTTTTAAAAGTTGCCCTCAACTTGGTAATCGAATATTTTCCCCATTTTTTATATGGGGTAAAAAAGAGGGGGGTGTATTTAACTTGTTAAAGTGAAGAACTGATTGATTTTTAACCTGACAAATAAATGATCATGCAGTCGATAAAAAATATCATAGGATCATCATGGTAAATACTTTTGATATATATATTATCATGTTAATGTACATGTATCTTGAGTTAAAATCCATCATTATGATCTTGCACTGAGTCTCTTTGCATAGTAACTTTTATAAAGCAAACTCTCATCAGGCCCATTGTGCCTCTACAGATTGAAATTACAGGGGCATTACCCAGGGCAATAACGAAGAAGAAGGGGGTGTAGGATTCCTGAAATTTCTTCTGTAAAGGTGAGGGACCCACAGGGTGCCCCCCTTTGGGCCCCCCTCCCCCCCCCCCCCCCCACTCCCAGACCCTGGGTTTTAGGAACAACCCTGCTGTGTCATGCAGCTTGTAACATTCAAATTAGCTCCTAGTCAGTCTCTCTCGGCAGTCATGTGTAGCTCAGTTTTCTAGGATTGTACTCTGAAACACAATTTCTCATGGCTAGAGCAGGTTAATATTTGGTGACATAAGATTTATGAATTCCCTTCTTTAAGTCTGTGTTTCCTGGGTGACTGATAACACAAGAATTCCCTTTGTTATTTTACACTATTTCCTATTCTCTGTATAAGTAATCATTATGATCATTAGTCTATTTCCTTTGTATCAGTCAATGGTTATGATCTCATTCTGTCGATCAGTATCAGTTCCAAAAGCTGACATGATGCTTATAGATATGATTTCCATTAAAATGAATGAAATGTATATCACAAACATGTCTTTGAAGATGTTTGAATGCATAATATGTATACAATAGTTTGAAGAAAAAAAAACATACTATGTAAAAATGATTAATTTAACAAAATTGCATAGAAATGATGATAGATACAAGTGTAGTAAATTCAGTACATTGGAAGAGTATAACTTTTAACAATAATTACACCACTACATGCTACAAATATCATGTGTTTTAATCTTAATAGCATATTTAAATTATATGTCATCTATTTCTTCGGAGGTTATCAATTTCAAAATTTAATTCATTCATTTACCTATTTACTATACAGTACACATACATTGCATTAATTGAAGCGGTCATTTTGGTCTCTAGCCAGTTCTTGTGGTAAAAATAAGTAGGGGTACCCCATTTACGAAAGAAGTGCCTATGAATATTTAAAAGTATTTCTAACCAATCAAAGTGTTCAATGAGCGGAGCATTCAAGGAATCTCAAGTCTGTGACGTCATGTTGTTAGCAATGTAACTATGAGCATGATGAAGTCAAAACATTTCAACAGTGCTCCAAGTTGCGACTAAAATGGTCGCATTTGCGACCAAAAAATTGATTTTGCGACTAAAAATGAAAACACACTCGCATTTTCGCGACTGAGAAAAATTTGGGCTGGAAATGTCCATTTTTAAGATCGGGATCGATATTTCATTTGTAAAGATTCTCTATCAAGAAAATGTTTGAAGACATATATTTAAATGTACACTTTACATAGCATCGCATGGACTTAGATTACGTAATGTTATGGCAGCATGCTGTACAAAGTTTGATAGAACAAGAGACGTGTATAAATAATGTTCCTGATAGAATGGCATCCAAACTTCGTTAACTTTCTAAGATCCGACCTTGTTATTTAAGCATTTGGTCAATTGCTTGCATATCACAATGAATCATGCTATTAAAGAGTGTTTTGGCGGCATTTATAATGACTGGGTAATGGGTTAGGTATGTAGTAATAAGTAAACATGACAAACAGCAGACAAAGTCCTGTTTCCACAGCTGTCAAGCTTGTATTTTCATTTGATAAAATTTTATTTCTGTAATCAGATTACTTGTGTTCTGTACAACCATAAGGGTACATGTATGCAACAAAATTTTTCATTCAACCTAGCAAATTTTTATAGTCACAGTAATGTTTTATTATAATAAAGACATAATACATATACTTTTTAAATTATAAAGTTTTATTCACAAAATGTATTATTTTATGGCGAGTGAAATATTTCATTATGGCGACCAGAAATTCAGAAATGGCGACCAAAAAAATTTTTAGGTCGCCATTTTGCGACCCAAGAGCAAGTGTGACTTTAATTTCCAGCGTTAAATCCATAGCCTGATGATGTCATAATGACTTATGTAGCATTGTGACGTCATCAGGATTTCAGCTCATTCTCGCAGTATTATCTAACACCAAAGTAAATTCAAACCTAAGAAATTATAATATACAACAGTATAATAAAACACTTATCCTCTGGCTGTGAGTGAGATAGCTCTTTTATCAAACCCTTGACAGGAACTACTCGGGCAAGCCCTCGGGGAATAGTTCCCTGTTGCGGATTTGATAAAAGAGCTATCCCACTCACAGCCATTGGATAAGTGTAGAATAGCCTATGATTAGTTTAATATAATAAAACATTTATGGAATGTGAACTCAAAAATAGCAAATTTATGGTTCCCCCTCCGCAGGAAACTATTTCCTCCCTCTGGGAACCATAAATATGCTTTAATTTTCTCTTGTAGTTAGAATAAACGCCCTCACCACAGTTAGAATACCAGTCCCATATACTCACAATGTAGCAAATAATTGCAGAATTGCTCCAAAACGATATTGAAGTATACTTAAGAATTTGCACTAAAAATAACTTTAAAATTAATTGTAACAAACCTTTTTGGGATTCCGTATGCCTTTAAACTTAAAATAAAATCCAAGCGAAGATGAAAATTCAACTAATTTTCTCAATGTTTTTTCTCACTTCAAAATTACACGCCATATTTACTATCGGAATTCTCTGGATTGTTCCTAGTAACTGCACTGAGTACAAGTTATCGCCCGTGTTTATTTTGTTACATTGTGAATACATGGAACGAATTCTATCGTTGAAACCTGGGACATTTATCATTTTAACGATAGAAATTCTATCTATTTCCCTCGTACCCATTCCATAACAGTATACTATAGTACTGTATGATGACACCCATCTTCTACCCAGCATGCTCGTGCTTTTAGCTTATTCATTATTTAGCTGAGTATTTGGGACTTCTGGAGAACATGATAAAGTTCTGAATTTCTATAAAGCTGCTATATGCCTTACCCTAGACACCCTGGCCGCCCAGAAATCTCTCATTTTAAAGTTATTAGTCTGAGAATTTACAATAAAAATGAAATACGAAATCTGGATTATTACATTTTTTAATATTAATACCGACAGTGAAATATCAATCAGTTTACTGGCTCCAGAGCTTAGCACTGTTTAGGAAGGCATGGGGAGTGGGTGTCAGGTCCAGTACAATCAGTACATTTAGCTAGAATTATCTAGGTAGAATTTAATCTAGCTACCATAGCTTTATTTACCTACCTCAGGTAGCTTGATTTAGCTACCAAATGAATTTATTTCTATAAAAAAGCATTTTTCTCAGGATGTGCAAAAACTATCATTTTGATGCAGTGATCATTTTCAACTTTGAACTCGTCTGAAAACAATTCATGAAAAATTCCTTCTTGAAGAAATGTCTTTTTCTGCGCAATTGCAATCAAAGTTCTGAAAGTTTTGGGGCT